AAAATAATTTATTGAATCAGAAGAGTTCAAACTCTTACAGTTAATTTTTTGGGTTAAAGTAAAAAAAAAGGCGTCTTGGCGCTGTCGAATGGCTGTCAATATGAGATTCAACTTAAAAATTATCAACTAGTTATTGACACCCATTATTTAAATATTATAAAGGAAATAATTAATTTCGATTATTCAATTTTATAAATTTTTCATATATTGTTAATTAAAACAAAAAAGATCATATTATTAGAAGAAATTAATTCAAACAGCATTTAAAAAAATGCTTTTCTAATCAAAGTTGTTAAGAAAATAAACGTTCATGGTTTGATCTGGTGCTTTTATTTTTTAATAATTGATATTTAATATTTTGAACTAATTTTTTTCAATTTTCTAATTAATTACAATTTAATAAAAATTTTTAGTTATTCTTATTACAGATAATTAAATATATTTAAAAATTCAAGGTGTCAATAATTGAAGCTTTATTTATTAAAAATAATTCTTTTTATCATACCTTTTGCTGTTGTATCGCCCATCGTATCCAATAATCACTCCTTTTTCCTCTAAATCATCCACAGAAGCTTTCAAGTACTTCATCAACCCTTGGCCTGTCTGAATAATCACAACTTCATTCATCTGATTGTACCCCGGGCCCATTCTACCTCTAAGTCCCGCAGTACCGAACTCCAATCGTTGTAAAAATAATTTACTGAGTAATTTAACATCTCCTTGGGACACAAGCTCCAGGACTTCATTTTTAGCTTCTGGATCCTTGTTAAAATTTAACCACTCACTTATTTTGTCATCCAGCTCCTTGATTCCGGTTTTGACTTCCATTTTTTCTGATTAAATCTTAGTATTAAAAAAATAAAATAATATATTTAGTAATAATCAATAATAACCTACTTTTAATTTCAGAATTTTAATATTCCATTGCATCAGAATCAATATCTAAATGTTTGACCTCGGTGATTAAAAAGGTAATGATAAATATTATTGTGTTTTAGTTTTCTTTGACAAATTTACACGCGCAAGTCTTATTTATTTTGTTTTATATATAAATTATTATTATTATTATTATTATTATTATCAAACAAGAATAAAAATTACTTTCGGTAAAATTCGGTTTGACAAAATGGCCGACAATAAAAAAAAATGACACTAAATTTTTTTTAAAATTATTATTTAAAAAATCAATTAATTATTTATTATTTAAAAAAATTACTAATATTTTTTTTTATAATAATAATTGATTAAAATAATTGACAGCTGTCAGCTGACTTCAGTTTTATAAAAAAAAAAACTAACTGCGCATGAGTGAGATTTCTGCGCATGCGCAGTTCTCGGTTTTTGCTTCTGCGCATGCGCAGAGGCAAAAATAAGCTACTGCGCAGCAGGAAATTCCGCGCGTTATTTTTGAAATTAGCTTTTCGGGTTTACGGAAGTTCCCGAGCGTATTTGACTATATAAATCATTAGATATATATTATAAAGAGAGACTGTAGTAAAATATAAAATATATTGTGAAGTTGATGTTAGAAAAAAGAAAAAAAAAATATAAGGGTAGAAAATTTAAATCACCGAATCAATTAATTGTTGTCGGGTGATAGTTAACAAGTTATTTAAGGTGAAGTTTATTGTTGCGTTCATTTAATCAATAGTTTAGTGTTAAAGGTTATTAATTGTGGATAAAAATATATTTATTATTAATAATAATAATATATTATAATTATTATAATAATAATAGTAAAAGTTCAAGGGGTATTTTTGTGTTATAAAATGATTATGGTTTTTTGATAAATCAGTACCTGGATAAAAATTACTTAACTTCACTGCCGGTAAGAATTAAATTATTTATTAATTTATTAGATTAATTTGTGGCATATGGTGACGAGTTTTGTTCCAGGTTTAAAAAAAAAGCTTCAAAATTGATAAAAAAAGCAAACCGTTGGAGATGGAGGTGGGAGTTGTGAAAATAGCTGAGGATAGGGATTTTGAGAAGCTTAAAAAATTGTATGATGATAACAATGACTGGAAGCTTGATTATAATAAGCCTGATTTGTCTGTGTGGACTAAGCATGTGCCAGGAATAAGCTTCAAGATGATTAAGGTAAGTGCTTTTTATTGTTTCTAAATTTTTTTTTTTTTTTATGTCATTGGGAAGGTTTGAAGATTAAAAAATTGTTTTTGTGTTAGATAAGAACCAGATTCGCAGATGTTGAACCAGAAACGCTGTATGACGTCCTTCATGATCCGGAGTATAGAAAAGTTTGGGACACGCATATGATCGAGTCTAAGGACATTGGGTTTTTTAATCCTAACAATGATATCGGTTATTATTCAAGTATGTATTGATTTTTAATTATAATAATAAAGTTAGTCGACATTTTTGATTAATTAAATAAATTATTATTAAAAAATATTTTTTAAAAATTGCACTTATAGTTTTTAAAGTTTTTAACAAATTAAAAAATTTTTTTTAATAAAAAAAATCATAAGAATTTTTAGATGGCGGCTAACTTTATTTTCATTGAAAACATTATTAAAAAATAATTTTTTTTTAGTTTCATTTGTAAAAAATTTGAAAAACTGTAAGTTCAATTTTTTTAAAAATATTTTTTTGTTTTGATGTAATTATTAAAAAACAATTAAAAAAAAAATGTCGGCTAACTTTAGTATTATTGATTTTTATGGAAATGAATTTAGCTGATGGTTAATAATTTTTTTTAACAAAAAAATCAGGAAATGAAATCGTGAATTTAAAAAAAATTGAAAATGCAATTTTTAAAAAATAATTTTTTTATTAAATTATAGTGGCCTGTATATCTCCGTTAAAAAATCGCGACTTTGTTCTGCAAAGATCCTGGTTGGATACCGGAAGAGAGCAGCTTATACTAAATCATTCAGTATTCCACAAGGATCATCCACCGAGAAAGCATTTTGTTCGAGCTACCTCTTATTTAACAGGTGAATTATTTACTAATCATAAATAAATAAATTGAATTAAATTAAACTAGCAACCTGCACTATGTGACTCTTGAGATTTGAAGATTGCGAATAAGAAAACTTTGGCTTAAGGGGGGAAGTCTATGTAAAAGCCTCAAAATTATTCATTTTTTTTAAATATTTCTAAAGGTGATAAAAAATATTTATTAATATTTAATAAATTAAATAATTGTCTTCAGATAAACTAGCAATCTTGCAGTCACTATGTGACTGTCCAGACTTGTGAACTATAAATAAATAACATTTCACGTAATTAAATAATGACTTTTGTTAAATTGCACTGTACTTTCTTAACTGTTGACATTTTTAAAGATATAAGCTCATCCTGGTGTTACACTCATCAAGAGCTTTCATTTGAGTACCCACATTCATTTTTTATATATTTTTCATATATACATATATATGATATATATAAATATATAAAATATATGAAAAATTGATGTGGGTATTCAAATGAAAGGTCTCGATAAGAGTAATGTCGGGGTGAGCTTATATCTTTAAAAATGTCAATAGTTCACGAAATACAAGGTCATTTCTTAATTATTGACACTTTTTAAGATATAAACTTATTTCGGTGTTACACTCATCAAGACCTTTCATTTGAGTACCCACATGCATTTTCGATATATTTTTCATATATACATATATATATTTAATATATATAAATATATAAAATATATGAAAAATTGATGTGGGTACTTAAATGAAAGGTCTCGATGAGAGTAATGTCGGGGTGAGTTTATATCTTTAAAAATGTCAATATTTCACAAGATACAAGGTCATTTCTTAATGATTGACATTTTTTAAGATACAAACTAATTTCGATGTTACACTCATCGAGACCTTTCATTTAAATATAATAAATTATATAGAATATATTAATAAAAATTTGACATTTTATCAACAGGATACGTTGTAAGACCATCGCGCAATGGAGATGGTGTTGAATTAGGATATGTTTCTCACACAGATCCTCATGGTAAATTACCCGTATGGCTTGTAAATAAAATCACTCAGATATTTGCACCCAAGGTAATAAAAATTGAAAAATTAAATTTTAAAATTCATAATTGGGTAAAGAATAATAATAATTTTTTCATTGAATTTAAAACAGATGGTTAAAAAATTACACAAAGCATCAGTAGCATATCCTGAATGGAAGAAGGCGAACAAGCCTAACCACAAACCCTGGCATTATCCTGAACAGATAATGGCGCCCAGAATACGCGTTGAAGATGTAAGTTAATTTATTTACACCTTAGCTTTTTTCAGCACAGATTGCTAGTCATTAGTCGCTAGAACTAGTCATTAGTTACTGCTAGTTTAGTCTCAGTCCCTAACCCGAATCGCTAAAGAATTGTTGTCAAACAAAATGGCGGTAGTTACGCTAGTATACGCCATTTTGTTACTATCGTTATACTTGAACAGAAGTAAATAAATTTTTATTTTAAAAATTAATTCACTTTACTTCTGTAGCAAGTTAATTTTGCTAAAATTTACAAATTAAAAAAAAAAGAAGAATATAAAAATAATTTTTTATTTTTTAGTGCGTAAAATCTGTTGAAGAAAAAAATATGAAAAATAGTTACGTTGATGAGTCGCATTTGAAAGATCAAATAGCCAAAGATATGATGATTATGGACAGTGATTAATTAATTTACATTTCATTAATTATTAATTAATCATAATTACAATTAAAAAATAAACTTGTTATATTTGTTATGATTAACTAGCAATCATAAAGAAAAAATAGATGCAGTATTACAGCCTAAAAATATTAAAACACTAATTAATTAATTACTAGTAACTTCAAATTTTGCTTTATTAAATAATGACTTTTGTGAAATTGCACTGTACTTTTTTAAATATTGAGGTTTTCAAAGATATAAGCTCATTTTGGTGTTACACTCATCAACAGCTTTCATTTGAGTACCCGCATGCATTTTTGATATATTTTTCATATATTTATATATAATATATATAAATATATAAAATATATGAAAAATTGATGTGGGTACTCAAATGAAATGTCTCGATGAGTGTAATGTCGGGATGAGCTTATATCTTAAAAAATGTCAAAAGTTCATAAAATACAAGGTCATTTCTTAATTATTGACATATTTTAAGATATAAACTCATTTCTATGTTACCCTCATCGAGACCTTTCATTTGAGTACCTACATGACATTTTTTATATATTTTATATATATAGTATTTGTAAAATATATAAATATATAAAATATATGAAAAATTGATGTGGGTACTCAAATGAAAGGTCTTGATGAGTGTAACATCGGGATGAGCTTATATCTTAAAAAATGTCAATAGTTCACAAGATACAAGGTAATATTTCTCTTAATAATATATATTAATGTAATTAATTAATTAGTGTATTAAATAAAACTACATGCAGTATTTGTTATTTAGTAACTACGTGATTAACAAAGTGCTATTTAAATTGTGGCCTGTTTTATTTTCCTGTAATTTTATTAAAATACAAGTTTTGCCAAAGTACTTATATACTTCTTAGACTTAAAAGAAGATAACATTTTTTTTTTTCTCAATGAAAGTTAAAAAAAAAAGTTTTAAAATGTAAAATTTACTGCAAGGAAGAATTTTTAATTATTTATCACAGGTTGAAATAATTTAATTAATTATTAATGGCTGAGACAGTTTCTATATCAAAAATATATCGCACATAATTTTAACATATCTGCACACCAGACCGGTCTATTTCAACAATATCTCTTTTTCATCGACTAATAAAAGTAAATTTATAAGAAAAAATTTTTTTCTTCCAAGCACAAAAACATTTTTTAATAATTAATATTTAATATTACGATGATGTTATTAAATAAACAAAAGGCTTCGTGAGTTTAGCGTGCATTGTTCTTAAAATAATAACAATAATAATATTAATATTAATAATGATAATAATAATAATAATAATAATAATAATAATAATAAAAAGGGCTGTGTATACAATAACGATCAGAACAGAAAGACTTTTTGATAAAATTATAACTTTAAATCAAAGTTTGATTTATAACAAAAACTGATAAAATAGCACAAAGTTAAATTATTAAAATTGTTAATCATTTTAAATGATAAAAATAATTGTTTTAACTGAATGATGCATTTTAATGCTTATAAATGTGAATTTTGCATGAGCACAGTAATCAAATATATTAATCATTTAATTGTTACATTTATAATAATAATAATATGTAAAAAATATTGTTAACTTCCTTTTTTATTAATATTAATCTCAATTTTTCATGTAATATTTTTTAAAGGGTCATTCTGAATTAATTTAAAAGTATTCTTAATAATAATGGCAAAAAATTTATTTAGAAATTAAAAAAAATTATAATTTTTTTTAATTATTTTTTTTTGGCGCCATAAATTTTTAGTTTGAAAATTTTAAGGTAAATGGCGCAAAGTTCTGGGATTCCCCGAAAAAATGGGAAATTTGTTGAGGTTAGGATTGAGTTTTGTTTAAGAAGAGTTATTTTGATGATTATTGGGAAAATTAAATGAATTTTTGGTAGAATATTAATAAAATTTTAAATATTAAACATTAAATTGAGAAGAAATACATTTTTAAATTAAAATATTGCAAATTTTATGAAAAAACTTAAAAAAGCAAATGTTCATTATTTTTTTACACAGAAATTATTATAGATTTTAATAAGATTAATTTAGCAAATAAATTATGGCAAAAAATAATTGACATGTAGAAATTTTTAAAAATTAAAATTTTTTTCTCAGCTAAAATCTTTATTAAATATAAAAATTTATTGTATCAAGTAAGATAAAAGCCCCAATTATTGACAGGGTTCTAAATATTGACACCTTAAATTATTTTAAAATATATTTAATCTGTAATAAGAATAACTAAAAATTTTTATTAAACTGTAATTAATTAGAAAATTGAAAAAAATTAGTTCAAAATATTGAGTATCAATTATTAAAAAATAAAAGCACCAGATCAAACCATGAACGTTTATTTTCTTAACAACTTTGATTAGAAAAGCATTTTTTTAAATGCTGTTTGAATTAATTTCTTCTAATAATATGATCTTTTTTGTTTTAATTAACAATATATGAAAAATTTATAAAATTGAATAATCGAAATTAATTATTTCCTTTATAATATTTAAATAATGGGTGTCAATAACTAGTTGATAATTTTTAAGTTGAATCTCATATTGACAGCCATTCGACAGCGCCAAGACGCCTTTTTTTTTACTTTAACCCAAAAAATTAACTGTAAGAGTTTGAACTCTTCTGATTAAATAAATTATTTTTAAATTAATTTTTATATTTTTAATAGTAATTAATCATTTATGGAAATTATTATTAATAAACTTTAATAAAATTGATTACTTAATAATAAGTTTGGATAAATAAGAATAAGCAGATGATTCGACGCATGCGCAGTATAGGTGTCAATAATTGGGGCTAAGGTATGTCAATAATGAGATCAATCAGTTTTTTAACCTGCCAATAATTGGTGTCTCCGGATAATCTATTTAATTATTTAAAATTAATTAGTAAATATCAGTGGTTATCATTTTTAAAAATTTGATTAGTAAAAACATTACTTGAGACATTACCACAAACAAAATTCAACGATATTGATATTTGATTGCTTAAAAAAAATCTAATTATAACTTTGTCTCTTATAGTGTCAATAATTAGGGCTTTTACTTTTTTTTTTCTGAATAATATTTTCGCTTTAATTTCAAAATTAAAATTAAAATTTTATAACATTCATGAATTTTACTTTCGAAGAAAGTAAAATAAAAAAAAATAATTCTTTTTTTTTTTTAATTATTATTCAGAATGACCCTTTAAACAAAAAAAATTTCAAATAATACTTTTTTAAAGAAAATTAAATCCTCTAAAAAATTGTACTGATTAATTTTCTTGAAAAAAATCAATTACATCCCTTTATTAAAAATTTACAATTAATAAAAAAAAAAATATGTTATTATTGATGAATGTATTCGTATATTAAAAGTGATTATTTCACTTTCATATTATTGCACCTTGTATATATATAACATTTATTAAAAATTTAATTGTTAAAAAATGTAAATTAATTTATTTATTATAATCCGAGTCCTAAAAATCAACTCCCAAGGTTTTGTTATATAAATTTATCTAAAAAAAGTATATTTTAATTACCGCAAATATTTACCGTAAAATTATAAAACTTGCGCAATAATATATTTATTTTTATTATTAATTATAATTATCACCTAAGGAAGTTGTTTTAAGTAAATAATTTATAATCTATTTTAATTAATCGATAAAGAATTATTTATTATTATTATTATTATTATTATTATTCCGAATAAATTACCCTTGGTTTAAATAAGTCGCGCAAGCGTAAGAAGAAATATTATTTTTTAATTCTAATCTCCCACTTTGTTAATTTTTTTTAAACAAGATCTTCGTTTATTGAATTGTTTCATTAGTACTTTACTCTTGACACTGTTAACATCAAGAATAATAAAATTGCAATGAGTTGTGATTTAAATGTCAAAAATTTATGTGAAAATAATGAGAGTTGTATTAAAGATGAAAAAGAAAATAATAAAGAAGAAAAAGAAGAAGAAGAAGAAGAAGAATTGAAAATTTTTACTTATCATTTTAAAAATTGTCTTTCAGATGTAAGTATAATTTATTTGATTAATTTTATAATTTTTTTAATGAATAAATTTTGGCGAATAAAATTTAATTTTAGAAATTTAAAAAAATTGGAGTAATTTTTTAGAAAAAATTTTTTTTTTTCAACTTAAAAAAATTAGAAATTCGATTTTTTTAAGAAACAATTTTTAGAACAAAATTTTTTGTTAAATAAAATAAAAAAATATTTTTTTCCTTCATTAATTAAATAATGACTTTTGTTAAATTGCACTGTACTTTCTTAATTATTGACATTTTTTAAGATATAAGCTCATCCTGATGTTATACTCATCATGAGCTTTCATTTGAGTACCCACATGCATTTTTTAAATATTTTTGATATATACATATATATGATATATATAAATATATGAAATATATGAAAAATTGATGTGGGTACTCAAATGAAAGGTCTCAATGAGTGTAACATCAAGATGAGATTATATCATTAAAAATGTCAATGGTTCATAAAATACAAGGTCATTCTTTAATTATTGACATTTTTTAAGATATAAGCTCATCCTGACGTTACACTCATTAAAAGCTTTCATTAGAGTATCCACATGCATTTTTGATATATTTTTCATATATACATATATATGATATATATGAATATATAAAATATATGGAAAATTGTTGTGGGTACTCAAATGAAAGGTCTTGACGAGTATAACATCGAGATGAGCTTATATCTTTAAAAATGTCAATAGTTCACAAGATACAAATCTTATTATCATAAATTGAGTATTCTCTTAATAATACAAATTAAATCATTAATAGTTCATAAATCTATCAGTGTGTAATTAATAATTCTAAAAATATGAATATGTATCAATTTTTAATTATAAATTTTTTATAGAAAGAAAATTTAAATGAAGAAAAATTAAAAATACCAAAAAAGTTTAAAAAAAAGCGCACTTTACCAATAGCAGATTCAGTAATTTCTTGTTTAATAATTGGACCGCTAGTAATTGGCCACTGGAGAGGAGTTTGGAATTTAATGGATTTATATGAAATGCCGTGAGTATTATAATAATTAATTCCAATTTAATCAAGATTGCAATAAATCAAGATAACGTTGATTTGTAGAAGAACAAGAATAGAATAATCAATACAATACGCTTTTTATCTAATGAGCGATTTATAATCATGGAAAAATTTTAATTTTTTTTGCTTCCAGGTTTTCTGGTTTGGTTTGTTTTATAATCGGCACGGGTTTGCATCTTATATTTGTATTATCTAGAGAATTATTGCATTATTATTTTGCGGTAATATGGCGAAACTCAAATCCAATTGGACGCGCGGGGTATCACTTTGTGAGACTGTGGTATACATACATATTCAGCGTGACATGTAACATGCAGTGGCGAGGGGGATGGATTGTCTTGAGTTCAATGATGGGTGAAAATGAATGGTAATTAATTTATAATTAATATTGGTATAATTAATACCAAGTGACTAAATTTTTTTGCTCAAAATTGAAAAATTAATAAATAAAATTTTGGTTTATTAAATAATGAATTTTGTTAAATTGCACTGTACTTTCGTAAATATTGACGTCTTTAAAGATATAAGCTCATCTTGATGTTACACTCATCAAGAGCTTTCATTTGAGTACCCACATGCATTTTTGATATATTTTTCATATATACATATATATAATATATATTTCAAAGATATAAGCTCATCCCGAAGTTACACTCGTCAAGAGCTTTTATTTGAATACCCACATGCATTTTTTATATATTTTTCATATATACATATATATGATATATATATAGATATATAAAATATATGAAAAATTGATGTGGGTACTCAAATGAAAGGTCTCAATGAGTGCAATGTCAAGGTGAGCTCATATCTTTAAAATTATCAATAGTTCACAAGATACAAGGTCATTTCTTAATTAATAATAATAATCTTAAATCTTTGATTTTACGGAAGAAATATTGGTCGTATAAAAAACTTCTTAAATAAAAGTTGTTAACAATTTAATTTTATAAAAAAATTATCTTTTATAATTTTTTCTTAAGGTCTATAAAATAGCCGCAATTGCAAAATTTTTATAATTAGTGAAAATTTGAATAAATTATTAGAGAAATTTTTTTTATAAAATTAAATTTTCTACAAATTTTTCATAAAAACTTTTTTTATGACACTAATATTTCCGAAAAAAATCTTGGACCTAAATAAAACTTCTACTTAATCACAAATTAAAGTAAACTTTAATATTTATGATTAAAAGGACTGTTTCAGTAGTGACAATTAGTCTGCTGAGTGTCCTGTTAATCCTGAGATGCAGCAGAAATTTATTGGCGCCACCTTTAATCGTAGTCGCGGATATACCAACCAGTATTTTTACATTCCCAACGAGATATCGCAAGGTGAGAGAGTATAATTATTTTAAATATTTTAAATTGGTTTACAGTATAGAAAAAACTAAATAGCTTATTTATTTATTTATAAGTAAATTGATTAAAAATTGAGTGTAACGACAGACCAAGGTGAGAAGATTGTTGAAACTCGAGCTTAATTGACTGACAAAAAGCGTCTGATTATTATTGTTATACAAAGACGCGGTTTTTATTCACAGGAAATGCCACTCATTATTTTTCAAGGTGTTTTATTTATTTTTAATTTTCGAATTTTTAATTATTTATTTCTTCATTTTTTAATATTTCTTCTTTTAAAAAAAATTGTTTTTAATTTTGCTAATAAAATTATTGAAAATTTGTTTTTTAGCAATCTTAATTTTTTTTTTTTATTAAAATAAATTAATTAAAAAAAAAAAAAAAAGAGATTATATTTCAAATAATTTTTTTAATTATTTCTTCATTAGAATTTAGTAGCATAAAATTTGATATTTACTATCAATTTGTTGTATTTTAAAATGAATAAATAAATAATTAATTGAATAATTAAAAAATTTAATTAAGTAATTAAATAAATAATATTTCTTCGGTAAAATCCAGAAAAATAAAATTTTTATTCAAATGTTAAAAATTAAAGTGAAAATAATGAAACTTGCAATGAAGAAATGAAAAAAAAAAAAATAAAGAAGAAGAAGAATTAAAAATCTTTGCTTACCAATTGAAAAATTGTCTTTTAATAAGTATAATTATTTATGAAAATCAATTTCGTAGATTTTTGATTATTTTTAAAATTTTTTTAACAAATAAATTATAGTAAAAAAATTGACACTTAAAAATTAAAAATACAATTTTTTAAAATTAATTTTTTGGCGGGATAAATTTAGTTGAAAAAGTTTAAGATAGATGGCGCTGGGTTCTGGGATTCCCCGGAGAAATGGGAATATTTTTTTTGGTTAGGACTTTTTATTTAAATGTTCAATTTTTTAGTTAAATAAAATTTAAAAATGCAATTTTTAAATAATAATTTTATAGATAAAATTTTCTTGTTAAATAAAATAAAAAAATGCAATTTTTTAGAACATATTTTTTTTTTAAATAAATTTTAAAATGCAATTTTTTAATATTAATTTTTTTGTTAAATAAAATTAAAAAATAATCAATTGTCTGCTAAAATAAATATCATTAATAATTTAAAAAATGTAAATATGAATTAATTAACGATAAAAATTAAAATGACCGACAGACTAATTACTTTCAGCCGATAAAAATTCTTTAAAAAAAAAAAATACATATCTTCTGAAGAAAGAGTCTGTATCTAAAAAAGAAGATAAGAAAAAAAACAAATAAATAATTAAATTAATATACCTTCGGTAAGTAAATCTTGGTCCGTGATTAGCCAGCAAAGCTAAAAGGATTTAGGAGCTGGTAGGAGCTTTAAATCGTAATTAAAGATAGAACGAAGGGGAACGCATCTGTTATCTCACTTGTTACAATTATTTCATAAACAATTTCCATCTCCCTCAGTAAAATTTTTACCGGTGTATTAACTCGGTGTGTAATAACGATGTTCAAGTTGTTCAAGTATTGAAATAGTTGTGTGTACCGATGAGATGACAACCAGTCTCTCGTACAATTCGTCTCTAGTATTAGTACTATTAGTATTAGTATTAGTACATATTTGTATATTAGTATTGGTTATGGCCCCGTGGTAGCTTGGTACGGTTAAGCTTGATAAAAGATAGCACTTGCCGAAGGGATCCAGTACTCATTCACTCGTCGCTCGACCTGGTTACCAATACCCAATTGTTTCCAAATCATTTACTTTTTATTTTTTTTTCTTTTTTTTTTACTATTTTTTTTTTATCTAAGTTTTGTTTGTTGCAAGTGCCAGTTTTTTTATTATTTTATATTTTTGTTTTGTTTTAAAACGACCTGTTGTTATTATTTTAAAATGCCTGTTTTTAAAATGATATAGTTTTGTGAATATTTTTAATTGAGTAATTTGTTTCATCACTTGGTAATTTTTTAATAAAAAATTTAATTAGATAATTAGTTTTTTTAAATTGCTATTTTAGAAAGTGTTCACTTCTTGTTAAGTATTTTTTTTTAAGATCAAGTTTTATTTTTATCAAAAATTTTAAGTTTTTAATTCAAGTTAAAAAGTATAAAAAAATTTTTTTAGTGAAAAAAAATTTTGTTTATTAAAAAAAAAATTTTTTTTTTATTAAAAAATAAAAGATTATTTTTAATTTTTATCAAAAATTTAAATAAAAGTTAAAAAGTATAAAATAAAAATTATTTTTTTATTAAAAAAAAATTAATTTAATTTTTATCAAAAATTAAAAAATTTAAAAAGTAGAAAATAAAATTTTTTTTATTAAAAAAAAATTAGTTTTTCGCTTAAAAACAATTTTTTTATTAAAAAAAAAATTTTTTTTTCTTAAAAAAAAATAAATTTAATTTTTATCAATAATTTTAAATTTTAAATAAAAGTTAAAAAGAATAAAAAACATTTTTTTTAATAAAAAAAAAATTGTTTATTAAATAAAAATTTAATTAAAATATGAGATAAATTTTTAATTAAAAAAGTACTTGAATAAATTATCAATTAAAAATATTCCAGTAATAATTAATAAAAAAAAGTGTCAATAAAAAATTACTAGTGTAATAATGTTCCGGCAAATTTGAGTGTAAAAAAAAATAAATAAATAAATTCAAATGTCTAAACAACCGGCTTACCGAAATAACTTAATCCTCTACCAAGAAGACAATAAAAAATGATATCTAAATTGCTTGTCTCAATTTCAAAATCGAGATAAAAATTGCCGAGTTTTAAATACGAAAAAACCCAACTATGGAATTGTTGTAATAAATAAAAAAAAGAAATAAATCAAAGCTAAAATTTGCGATAGAAAAAAAATTGGGAAATGAATATTGATCAAGACTGGAGAATGGTAGAACTACGAACAACCGGAGTAACATCATCAGTGACCCGGGACCGTCCTGCCACCCGGTACAATGTCCATTACACAGTTCTAACAATTCTAGACGCCATTTTTTCGGCATTTGTCGCCGCGCCAGCGGTGGTAGGTTACTGGCGAGGAACCTGGAGCTTAAGTGATTTTTATATTTACCCTGAGGACCCGTTCTGGAGCAACGCAACCTCGATAATAGTCGGCTACGGCGGGCTATTTTTCTTCAACGTAATTCAGCATTTTCTGAATGATTTTCTGCACCCGGACAAGCATCGTCTTCTTTACTACTTCGGGTCTCGGATCTACACGGCGATCTTCGGGTTCTGCTGTGTCAATGCTTGGCGAGGAGGCTGGCATGTTTTGCATCTGTACACTGAACAGAATCCTAATACTGTAATTGCAACAACTGTTTTTGCGCTGGTTGCGCTCGGGTTCATGAAAGGGATTAGAAATATTTCGGCTCCGCCGTTTTCTCTCAGTCTTGATTCTCATCCAGGGTACTTTGAAGTACCGACCATGTTCAGAATCGATGTAAGTCTCCTGGAAATAAATAAAATTTTGCTTTATTAAATAATGACTCTTGTTAAATTGCACTGTACTTTTTTAAATAATAACGTTTTTGAAGATATAAGCTCATCCCGATGCTATACTCATCAAGAGCTTTCATTTGAGTACCCACATGCATTTGTGATATATTTTTCATATATACATATATATAATATATATAAATATATAAAATATATGAAAAATTGATGTTGTAACTCAAATGAAAGGTCTTGATGAGTGTAACACCGGGATGAGTTTTTATCTTCAAAAATGTCGATAGTTCTCAAGATACAAGGTCATTTATTAATTAAAATTGATGTACGTATATAGATAATATATATTTTGAAAATATAAGCTCATCTCGATGTTACACTTATCAGGAGCTTTCATTTGAGTACTCACATGCATTTTTGATATATTTTTCATATATACATATATATATATATAAGATATATAATATATATAAATATATGAAAAATTCATATGGGTACTCAAATAAAAGGTCTTGATGAGTGTAATGTCGGGATGAGCTTATATCTTGAAAAATGTCAATGTTTCACAAGATATAAAGTCATTTCTTAATCAAAAATTTATGTACATATATATAAAATATATAATTTAAATATATAAGCTCATCCCGATGTTACACTTATTAAGAGCTTTTATTTGAGTACCCACATGCATTTTAAATATATTTTTCATATATACATATATATAATATATATAAATATATAAAATATATGAAAAATTGATGTGAGTACTCAAATGAAAGGTCTTAATGAGTGTAACATCGAGATGAGCTTATATCTTTAAAAATGTCAATAGTTCTCAAGATACAAGGCCATTTCTTAATTATGTATCTAGAGATAGTATTTTCGAATGCTGATGCCTAAATACTTATCATAAATTGACTATTAGTGAGAATGATATGAAACCTTGAAAAGGTACAACTCCAGGTCAAGACCTTTCTAATGATACCAAATTTAACCATAAAAACCCATTTTATCATATAAATATAAATTATAACACTGGCCACAAAATTTAGTTTATTCTCTTAATAATATAGATATAAAATTTTCCGCAAGAGAAAAAAAAAATTGATTATTAATCTCAATGTAAATTAATGAAAACAAAAATATTGATACCGTGTATCAATATCAATCGTAGTATCTCATTGTAATTTATTATTATATCAAAATTGATGTCGTTCGTTAGACTTTAGTCAAATTTATCATGTTTATATTAAACATTTTATATCGTTAATCTTATTGTCAACCGGCGTTTAAATAAATCTTTATCTAATCAGTATTTTTAATTATCCGTTATTTAAAATTTATGTATATAATATATAATATATAATATATATAATATAAACAAATAATTACATGGGGGTTTTTTTTTTTTAATTGCAGAATACCAGAGATTGGACTCTGTATGTCTTGGATTGCCTGTTCAGCGTTGGAATTGTTGGGACACTTGTTGTCTTTGTTTGGAGAGGAATTTGGGTTCTTTTAGACTTACATTTATTCCCGGATAATCGGGAATATTCATCCATTTGTTCACTGGTAATTTTTTTTTTATTTCTTCTTTTTTAGACAGATTTATTTTAAAATTTTCAATGAAAAAAAAAAGAAAATTTTTAAGAGTTTCTTTCAAGTTAAATTTACTAAAACTAAAAATTTTTTTTCATGTAAAAACTTGAAGAAAATTTTATTATAATATTTTTAATCCAAGAAATTTAAATAGCGCGCCTTAAATTTCAACCAATAAAAAATCGTGGCCCATTCAAGACTTTTATGTATTTTAATTTAGAAAATGTTAGCAGGATTACGTCAAAAGTTCTTAACCGATCTTTATGAAATTTTGAGGAGTTATTTTATGAATCAACATTAAGATACAGTTTAAATTTGAGCTAAATCGGCTGGTTAGTTTGCGAGTTGTGGGTGTTTTAAATTTTTTTTTTTTTATTTTGGAAAAACTGAATTTTTTTCAATTTTATAAAAATAATTTTTCAGATGTAAAATTTTGATAAAATTTAGCATAAGTATCTTTAATTTAAAATACTATTTGTCTAATTTTGGTTTTTTAAATTAATTCAATAATTAAAAAATGTTTTTGTATTTTTTAAAAATTCAAAATTTTTTCAATTTTATCAAAATTTTACATCTGAAAAATTTTGATAAAATTTCACACTAATATCTTCAATTTAAAATACTACTTATTTAATTTTGATGATTTTTTTAATTAAAAAATTCAAATTTTTTTCAATTTTATGAAAATAATTTATCACATGTAAAATTTTGATAAAATTTCACACAAGTATCTTCAATTTAAATAGCTAGTTATCTAATTTTGCTGATTTTTTAAATTAATTCCCTAATTATTTAAATTTTTTACTTAAAAAATTCAAAATTTCTTCAATTTTATGAAAATAATTTTTAAGATCTAAAATTTTAATAAAATTTTACATAAATATCTTCATTTTTAATTATTATTTATCTAATTTTGATTATTTTTTAAATTAATTCCATAATTTTTTACTTAAAAAATTCAAAATTTTTTCAATTTCATGAAAATTCTTCAGATGTAAAATATTGATAAAAATTTATTTTAAATTTCAAAAAATCACCTTTTATTAAATCTATACTTTTTCTAACTTTGATGATAATAAATTAATTTTTGATTTTTATCCATTCCAAATTTTAATAAAAATTTCTTTGTCAAATTTTGAATTTCAAAAAAACCTCTTCTTTATTTCTCAATAATAGAATATTTGAAAAAAAGAAAATACATATTATTTGTTTGAATGATTTTATGAGTAAGTGACTAAAGAATCGATTATATAATTGAATATTCTCCAATCAAACAATTGTAAAGGCACGTACTGACCCGTATATTATTTTACTCCCAATGGTCAGTTAAATATTGTTTGTACTAGGTCATAGAAAGACCACAGAGTATTTTTCTCTTCTTAAATAAACAAAATAAAATAAAGAAAAATAAATAAGAAAAAATCTGCGGATTAAAATTATAATTTCATTTATTTTTGAAGCGTTAAATAGACACGTGACGCTTTATGTACGATAATACCAACCGGAAGACACCCACGTGCCAGAAAATAACTCTGAGAGTATTTTAATAGATTCTTCCGGATAGGGTTATAAATTTTCTGTATTAAAAAAATACTTTTTTGCGTTAAATTTAATTACTAAACAAAATTAAAAAATTATTTTTTTTTTCAATAATTATTTTATAAAAATTTGTTTAATATTTTTGAGGGAAGATATTACTTTTTTTTTTTTAATATTAATTATTAATTAGATTGTTATATTTAGAGTAAAGAGTAAAACAGATGACTTGAATCTATAAAAGCAAGGTTTAGAGACGATTAAGTAATAGAGATGATTTAAGTAGGTTAATTCAGCGGTAGGATTCTTGTATTATCATCATCCTCCTCCACTTCATCCTCCTCTTTATCCGCGACAACTATGTAGTCTCTTTCTTGTTATGTATTTACCCATTAGTCTATAGAACTATTAACTTTATTAATGGACGCATTGAACTTGATCCAGTGCACTTGACCGAGTGTCCGTCAATGTCTTCAAGATTTTATCAAAAAAAAATCTGGACAACCGGTTTGACCCTCTAGGTCACATTCCTGACACCTCATACTAAGTTCAGGTCAAAGCAGTCGGGAATATATCTAAGTGTAGATTTTTGAGCTCAAAAAAATTGAGATGAAAATTATTTATTTTTAACGGGAGAAAAAAAATTATTTAAAAAAAAATTAGCAATGTAATCTATATTATTAAGAGAATAAGAGAAATTTTTTAGCCAGTGTATTTATACAATAAAATTGGTATATATACATAATTAAGAAATGACCTTGTATTTCGTGAACTATTGACATTTTTAAAGATATAAGCTCATTCTGATATTGTACTCATCAAGAGCTTTCATTTGAGTACCCACATCAATTTTTCATATATACATATATAATATATATATTTTGAAGATATAAGCTCATCCCGATGTTACACTCATCGAGAGCTTTCATTTGAGTATACACATGCATTTTTGATATATTTTTCATATATACATATATATAATATATATAAATATGTAAAATATATGAAAAATTGATATGGGTACTCAAAGAAAAGGTCTTGATGAGTGCAACATCGGGATGAGCTTGTATCTTTAGAAATGTCAATAGTTCACAAGATAGAAAGTCATTTCTTAATTATTGACATTTTTTAAGATATAAACTCATTTCGATGTTACACTCATCGAGACCTTTTATTTAAGTACCTACATGGCATTTTTTGTATATTTTATATATATGGTATTTGTGAAATATATAAATATATAAAATATATGAAAAATTGACGTGGGTACTCTAATGAAAGGTCTCGATGACTGTAATATCAGGATGAGCTTATATCTTTAAAAATGTCAATAGTTCACAAGATACAAGGTCATTTCCTAATTATTGACATTTTTTAAGATATAAACTCATCCCGATGTTACACTGATCAAGACCTTTTATTTGAGTACCCACATCAAATTTTCATATATTTATATATATATTATATATATGTATATATGAAAAATATATCAAAAATACATGTGGGTATTCAAGTGAAAGCTCTTGATGAGTGTAACCTCGGGATGAGCTTATATCTTTAAAAATGTCAATTGTCAAAAAAGTACAGTGCAATTTAACAAAATTAATTATTTAATAAACCAAAATTAAAATTTTTTAATTTTGTTTATTAAAATAAAATTTATTTTATTTATTTATTTTTGTTATTAAAATAAATTTTTTTGCTCGACGGGCAGAAAGCGACGAGCAAAAAAATAGTATACACTCCTCGGGAAGTAAATAAGAAAGCCTCAGATCACATGTTTGTTGACCTCGGCTTCGCCTCGGCCAACAATTACATGTGATCTGAGACATTTCTTACTTTACTTCCCTAGGTGTGTAATATACTATTTACTCAACAATAAATTTACTGTAAAAAAATTTCTTTGTTTTAAAATAATTTTTTCTGAATGTCAATTTTTGATAAAATCAAAAATTACTCTAATTAAAAAAGTCTAAAAATATTCTTAGCGGGAAGTTATAATAAAAAATTCTTTTCATACACTTGTAATAAAATAATCTCCATAATCGGTTGATTAAATGATGACCTTTAAATTTAATCGTCCAAAAATTAATCAAGATCAATGTCAGACAATCTAAGATTTCACTGATTAAATTTAAAAAGCCACAATCACTTCCTATCACTCTCCAAATTAATGAAATCAAATTAATGAAATTAAAAAATTAAAAATCAGTTGGCTTTTTCAGATAATTGGGTACGTGATAGTAGCAATAACATTTTGTCTACAACCTGTGATGCGCTATGCCTGCAGTCGAATCCAAGGACTCCCTCGACTTTTAGCCGCTGATGCATTTCTCCTGCTGAGCTTCATTGGGACAGTCAATGTCTGGAGAGGAGTCTGGAGCATGCTGGATCTGTGGTTCATTCCAGAGGACCCGGAACTCTCCTGCTGGATAACTCACGTGGGATGTTTCGTTTTTCTTGGACTGCTAAATTGCAGTAACTCCATTTTGGTACGTGGAGTTTATATTGATGCTGAGGAAGAAGAAGGACGATGTGTCATCTTTCCATGTCATTATCTGAGATTATTCTTTAAGGTAATAACAATAAAAATAATAATAATAATAATAATATTGACATTAAAATTAACAGTCACTTAACCATTTTTTAATTTTTTTAACAAATAGATTTTTGTGAATATATAAATAAAATTTTGCTTTATTAAATAATGACTTTTGTTAAATTGCACTGTACTTTTTTAAATAATAACGTTTTTGAAGATATAAGCTCATCCCGATGCTATACTCATCAAGAGCTTTCATTTGAGTACCCACATGCATTTTTGATATATTTTTCATATATACATATATATAATATATGTAAATATATAAAATATATGAAAAATTGATGTGGGTACTCAAATGAAAGGCCTTGATGAGAGTAATGTCGAAATGAGCTTATATCTTTAAAAATGTCAATAATTCACAAGATACAAGGTCATTTCTATAATTTATATGCATATGTATAATATATATTTTAAAGATATAAGCTCATCTCGATGTTACACTCATCAAGAGCTTTCATTTGAGTACTCACATGCATTTTTGATATATTTTTCATATATACATATATATAATATATGTAAATATATAAAATATATGAAAAATTGATGTGGGTACTCAAATGAAAGGTCTTGATGAGTGTAACATCGGGATGAGCTTGTATCTGTAAAAATATTAATAGTTCTCAAGATACAATTTTTTTTTTTGCCATAATTTATTTGTTAAAAAAATTCTTAAAATTATTAAATGTCTGCTAAATTAATTTTGATATAATAATAATAATTTTTTTTTAAAGATTGAAAGAGAAAAAAAAGAAGCAAGACGTCGTAATTTAATGAGCATACCCCGTGATTACACCGAGAACAACGGCAAAGATTTAGAAAGTGGAGCGCTTCTAAACTGTACAACTTTGCCAACAGTGATACCTTCGTCCCAAGATCATCAGGGGTAATTAAAAATGAAAAATCTGATAATATAAAAGAAAAAAAAACTATTTTTAAATTTATAATTAATTTAAATTTAAATTTATAAATAGTTCAGGTCTTAAATTACTTAATTAAATATATTTCAGGTGATAAAGACCAATTTGTTTGAGTTTTAAGATTATGTTCTAACACTTAATCCTCTAAATTAAAATAGATGAAATTAAAATAAGCTTGAAGTTAACCAAGTATCAAATTATCGCAAAAATGTCGTTCCCGATTTCTTATTGGTCGAAAAATTAAAGCGCGAAATTCAAATTCCTAATAATTTCTTAATCAAGACACTGAAGCTAGCTGACATCTGTGATTATGAAAAAAATACTTTAAAATCTTTCCAACAATTTGTTTTTAATTTTAATTATTTTAAAAAAATTATATTTATAATTTTTAAACGTTTTAAAATAATTTATTTCTCAATTTTAGTATTATATAAGGTTATATTTTTTTTTTTTTGACAATTGACTAATTGTAAATAATTATTAAATAAATCTATTAATTGTTATTTATTTAACAATAAATAAATTGATTATTTGACAAAAATTGATAATAATAAATAAAATGCTATTTATTATTTAATTTTAATAATTAAATTATAATTTTGAGTCACAATTAATATCCAAAAGAAGAAATACCGGCTAAGAAGTTAAAACTCAAACAAATTGGTCTTTATCATCTGAGAAATGTTTAATTAAATTATTTAAAAATAAAAAAAGTGTGTGTAAATATCAAGGTCACAAGTGAAATGGATTTTTTGCATTTCGTAAGCTAATCTAAACCTATAATACTGAATTTACACTAAATATTTATTATTGTTATAGAAATTTGAGTCGTGTATATATTGAAATAAAAAAAAAGATTGTTTAAGTTAAAAATAAAAAATGATAAATTTACTAAAACTTAAGTTGATTTCATGAACCTTGGGTAAATGACAATGATTTAGCAGATAATGCAGCCGTAACCTTCTTCGTGTCTTGTTCTCCCCAGTGTATCCTGTTACTTTTTTTGTGCGACTATTATTTAAAGTTTATTATTTAGTAATTAACCAACTAACTGTTGATTAGTTAACAATAGATTAATAGGGAAGTGTTTTTTAAAATATAATAGTTATATTGTCAACAAATGACCTCGTGCCCTGCTTTTTACAAATAAAATATGACACTGAAAACTTATGACGTTAAAGTTAACAGTTACTTTACAATTTTTTTTATTTTATTTAACAAAAAACTTGTTTTTAAAAAATTGCATTTTTTATTTTTTTTAAATTCTTCAAGTCAATTTTTTAAAAATTTATTTATTAAATTGATAAAATAATTAAAATAATTTTCATTGAAATAGTAATTTTTTCTTTTTCTGAATTAGTTAATTTAATACTAGCAACTTTGCAGTCACTACGTGATTGCCGTGACTAGTGAACTATAAATAAATAGAATTTTACTTTATTGAATAATGACTTTTGTTAAATTATACTGCACTTTCTTAAATATTGACGTTTTTAAAAATATAAGCTCATCCCGATGTTACACTCATCAAGAGCTTTCATTTGAGTACCCATATGTATTTTTGACTTATTTTTCATATATACATATATATAATAATATATAAATATATACAATATATGAAAAATGTATGTGGGTATTCAAATGAAAGGTCTCGATGAGTATAATGTCGGAACGAGCTTATATCTTTAAAAATATCATTAGTTGACAAGATACAAGGTCATTTCTTAATTATTTATCTAGAGATAGAACATTTTCGAATATAGCTGTCTTGATAAGAATTAGTGCTTTTTGGTTTTATGTATTCCTTAGTAGTCAATTTTTATTGTAAAGTTTTTGGCGGAGTTTTTAATAGTTTGTTGGTTCTATAAAATTATTTTTAATTGATCTAATAGCATTATTATTTTCAAAATTAATTAATAGTATATTACACACCGAGGGAAATAAAGTAAGAAATGTCTCAGATCACATGTAATTGTTGGCCGAGGCGAATCCGAGGTCAACAAACATGTGATCTGAGGCTTTCTTATTTACTTCCCGAGGAGTGTATGCTATTTTTTTGTTCGACGAAGGCAGAAAGTGGCAATTTCGTTTAGCGCAGCGGGCCGAAATTTGACGCTTTCTGCCCGTCGAGCAAAAAAAAAATATCCTTTAATGTCATAAGTATCCAAAAATCAAGCCAAAATTTTCTTATTTATATTTCAATAGTTAAATTTAATTTATTAATTATTAAAAAAATTTTTAATTTTTTTTTTTTTTAATTTAGTTTTTGTTAAAAAAATTTGTAAATATTAAAAGAAAATATTATCTTAGACAAATTTTGTTTGTATATAAGCAAAAAGTTATGAAATAAAAATAAATAAAAAAAAAAGTTGGATGACGAACAATTGATTGGCAATCGATCGTCAATGGCCTGTTGGCCCTATGACCGCTAGTGGGGAATCTATTTGGGGCGTTTGTAGATCTCGCGACACAAAATCAGTACACATCGACACGTAAGAAGACTAAGACTAGAGTCTACTTCGATTTAATAATAAATAATAAGATACAGGAAGATATTTGTTTGTTTCACCTCTAAAATCTCTCCCAAAAAAAAATAAAAAAAAACAATAATTATTTAGAAAAAAAAAATAGAATAAAATACAGTTAAAATAGAGTTCGGAAAAGCTCTGAGGCTTCACCGTCATAAAGAGGATAATTACCTAATTATGGCTAGTGACGATCCTATTGCTAACGCACCACTTGCTTCAGTTGAATTTGAAGTATTCGGAAAAGTTCAGGGTAAGTTTCTTCTCAATTTAATCTCCCAATATTCTTCTTGTCATCCTTAATTATCATCATTGCTTATTTTATTTTAATTTTTTATCCTTGTTTTAATTTCCTAAAATAAAAAATAAAAATTGATTTGATTATTGTCGTTGTATTTTATTTATTTCAGGTTGTTACTTTACTAAATACACACGTGATTTATGCAGATCACTTGGAATAACCGGTTGGGTTAAAAATAGTAAAACCGGCAGTATTTTGGGGAAAATGCAAGGACCCAAGCCATATGTTGATCAAATGTAAGTTTTTTTTTCTGTAAAAAAAAAAAAAAAAAAAAAAAAAATTAAAAAAAATTAAAAAAAAATTTTTTTTTTCAATTTTCAAAATTTCTTACCTCATAATTAAGAAATGACCTTGTATCTTGAGAACTATTGACTTTTTTAAAGATATAAGCTCATTCCGACATTACACTCGTCGAGACCTTTCATTTGAGTACCACACCAATTTTTCATATATTGTATATATTTATATATATCATATATATGTATATATGAAAAATATATCAAAAATGCATCTGAGTACTTAAATGAAAGCTCTTGATGAGTTTAACTTCAATATGAGCTTATATCTTTAAAATATATATTATATACATATATATAAATTTTATTTAAGAAATGACCTTGTATTTTGAAAACTATTGACATTTTTAATAATATAAGCTCATCCTGATGTTACAGTCATCAAGACCTTTCATTTGAGTACCCACATAAATTTTTGATATATTTTTTATATTTTTATATATATAATAATATAAAATATGTGAAAAATTGATGTGGGTACTTAAATGAAAGGTCTCGATAAGTGTAATGTCGGAGTGAGCAAAAAAAAAAAAAATTAAGCTCGTAAAAAAACAATCACAGGGCAAATAATAAATAATATTTAAAACAAGTTTCACAACTTGGCTGAGATATTAATTGTTCTTTAAATAATTATTTCAAGATCATTGCAAGATAATTAATTTATTGCAACTTCCTATTGAGTAATTGCCAGGCTGTTTATTTATAAACAATTTATAACCTTGACGATTTTACCAAAATATTTATTTATTTATTGTGAATTTTAAATAAATAAAATTTTGCTTTATTAAATAATGAATTTTGTTAAATTGCACTGTACTTTTTTAAATATTGATATTTTTAAAGATATAAGCTCATTCTGATGTTACACTCATTAAGAGCTTTCATTTGAGTACCCACATGCATTTTTCATATATTTTTCATATATACATATATATAATATATAAAATATATGAAAAATTGATGTGGGTACTCAAATGAAAGCTCTTAATGAGTGTAACATCAGAATGAGCTTATATCTTTAAAAATATCAATATTTAAAAAAGTACAGTGCAATTTAACAAAATTCATTATTTAATAAAGCAAAATTTTATTTATTTAAAATTCACAATAAATAAATAAATATTTTGGTAAAATCGTCAAGGTTATAAATTGTTTATAAATAAACAGCCTGGCAATTACTCAATAGGAAGTTGCAATAAATTAATTATCTTGCAATGATCTTGAAATAATTATTTAAAGAACAATTAATATCTCAGCCAAGTTGTGAAACTTGTTTTAAATATTATTTTATTATTTGCCCTGTGATTGTTTTCTTACGAGCTTAATTTTTTTTTTTTTAAAGGCTAGAATATAAATAAATTGTTCCGATTTGTTTCTAATTATATTTTTATCACACTTAAAAAAGTATTTTAGAATTAATTAAATAAAAATATAATTCCCAGGGCGCATTGGTTAACAACTGTAGGAAGTCCAGGATGTCAAATTCATCATACAGAATTTACTAACTGGGAAACAATTCGAAGGCCATCATATCGAGATTTCGGAATACGTTTTTAATTATTAATAATATTTATTAATATTTTATTACTTTTAACTCCATGAATTATTTTTTTAATTTACTATTTATTTATTTATTTATTTATTTATTATTTTAGATATTAAATATATTTATAGATAAACATTTTAATTAATTATAACAATTTCTTCTTTGTATCAGCGAAACGATTACGAAACGAATATAATTAAATTTTTTTTTTCAATTGTAAATTCGATTGTTTAAAATAAATCATTTTTATCAGAAGTTGAATTAAATTAAAGCGACTTACCGAATAAAAAATATTAAACTATCACAGTCAATACTTTACTTTTAAAAAATGTCATCCGCGATAAATAAAAGTCGCGTCGAGCATTAATTGCGCGTAATGATAATCATTATGCGTATCTGGTAAGTATTGTGACACTTTTTTTATCAACTCAATATTGTTTTCGTTGGAGCAGCTTGTTATTACAATTCCTGGTAAATTCTGTAATAAAAAATAAAATAAATTTTCAATCAGTGTTTATCATTTTGAGTTTAAATAATAAATTACCAAATTTTCCAAGTACTGAGTTAATGCAGGACTTATCCTTGATACTTCCTCTAATAAGTCTGGTGATTTGGATAAAAATGACATCATACGCAAACCAGCTATTGGTAATAAATTTACTGCTAACGTTTCTGTGTCATTTACTGCAGTTAGAACCTGTGAAAGTAATATTTTAACTTTAAAATTGATAGCTTTGTAATCTTAAGAAATTTTTTTTAGAAATTACAGTGATTGAGGACATTTATGAAAGACTTAAGGTAGTACGGTTATGAAAGCAATATTTCAAGAAATCCTCGAAACTTTGAATATAAGTCATTAAATACATAATACATATGCTGTTAAAATTTGAAGGCGATTTACCACACCAAACTTGAGATAATTGCAATTGAAAATGGCATTTTTGTACATGTAACATAGGAGAAGCGTGGGAAAATGACAGTATTTTTAATTTTTTCCATCGAAGGAATTTCAAGACTTTATCAAAAAACTAGTAGATTGAAGAATATGATATTTCGAACAATTAAAAAAAAAATGAAAATTTTCTACCATGTAGTTTTCGAGATTAATTAAAAACAATTTCACTTTTAGAGGATTATTTTTAGGAGAGGGGGTACGAAAAACAGCCGCTAGTCACTGAAACCGTAGTGTGTGTGTATATGTATAGAGAATATAGTAGTCGACGAGTACAGTAACGTTAAAAAATCTTAACCTACAACCTTAGCTCTGTCGATACGTATAACATGGATAGCGAGTCAAAATTTTTGATCTGGATTGTCGCGGAGGTACTACCTTAATAGAAGATATAAATTTTTTTTTCAATATACTATTGAATATTAATTTTAAGATTATTGATGTACTGTAAAACTTTTCTTAAAATTTTAACTGGTTTGAAGTTATAATAATTTTTGAAAGTTCTAGGAACAGGATTAGGTTCCGAGAACAATATTAGGTTTAAAGAACAGTAGTAGGTTTTAGAAACAATATTAGATTCCAGGAACAATAGTAGGTTCTAAGAACAGTATCAGGTTCCAAGAACAGTACCAGGTTCCAAGAACAGTACTAGGTTTTAAGAACAATATTAAGCTCTAATAAAAGTAACGGGTTCTTGGAACAGCAATAGGTTCTTGGAACAGTCATAGGTTTTTGAAACAGTAATAGGTTCCGAGAACAATATTAGGTTCTAAGAACAATATCAAATTTTTTGAACAATAGTAGGTTTTAAGAACAGTACCAGGTTCCAAGAACAATATTAAGCTCTAATAAAAGTAACAGGTTCTTGAAACAGCAACAGGTTCTTGGAACAGTAATTGGTTCCGAGAACAATATTAGTTTTTATGAACAATATTTGGTTGGAAGAACAATATTAAGTTTTTGGATTAAGAGTAGGTTCTAAGAACAGTATCAGGTTCCAAGAACAGTACCAGGTTCCAAGAACAATATGGAGCTCTTATAAAAGTAACATTTTCTTGAAACAGCAATAGGTTTTTAGAACACCAATAGGTTCCGAGAACAATATTAAGTTCTAAGAACAGTTTTAGGTTTTAATAACAATATCAGGTTCCGGGAACAATAGTAAATTCTAAGAACAATATTAAGCTCACAAAAGTAATAGGTTCTTGGAACAGTCATCAGTTCTTGGAACAGTATGAAGTCATAAAACTTAAAAAATAAAAAAATATCTAAAATACCTCATCAGCTAATTGATCAAATCCATTAACATAAAGTTGGCAAGTTTGATGTATCCTCAATTTATCACAATCAATTTTCCACATAGAAGCTAAAACAGTACACTTGCTCATCCACAAAACAGCTTGTCTTGAATCAACACCATCTTCTGTAGTCTCCTGATGAATCGATTCCATCGACGCGGTAATAACACGACAAAGGAAGTCTAACCTGTTACCGTCTCGTTTGTCATCGTGGTACCAGGTGAAGATAAACTTGTCTGTGATGTCTTGGAAGAAATATCTGCTGGTCTGATAACATTAAATAATTGAATAATTAATGTAAATAATTTAAAAAAAAAGTAAATAAACACTTACCACTGATTCAAACAAACTGGTCATCGGTTTCAAAGATTTGATCCCGAAGAAAGCAATCATGTGTAATACATATCCCAATTGCAAGTGGAGCAAAATTAAATCGTAGTTTCCAGGAATTTGATTGATGGCCAGAGCAGAGAATGCTTGAGGTCCAGCGTGTCCTTCCCATAATTCTTCAGCCTTAACCACTGTATTCTTATCTTCTTCCAAGACTTCAGCGTCCAAGAAAATATCCAAGAAGCTGACACAGTGCTCCAAGAAAATTATCGTCTGTACATCAGACAATCCAACATCTTGGGTGCATAATCTCTCCTTGGGAAGTTTGCCAAGTTTGTTAATCAATTTTCCAGCGGCTTCCATCCTTTTTTTTAAGTGAATATTCCACAAAAGACAACATACGCCTTGGCGCATTGATTTCATGGGAATTTGTCTCAAAACAGTCAAAGCCGCTTCTATAACATCGAGCCTAGTGACATCTTTGCTCCAAAACATTACATACTGCCAGGTTAAGTTTGCCAAGAGGACGCTACTGGTCAAGCTGTAAGGAAAACGGCACTTTAGCATCGCCATTTTGTCGAAAATTTCTTCCAGAGAGTCAGCATCTACTTTTGTTGGTGTTTCTGAAACTACAGTAAAAAAATTATATTGAAATTTCTAATATAATTATTAATTAAATCCAAAGTTTTATAGAAAATGTTATAAAAAAATTCAATTTTAAATAAATTCTTCAAATTTATTTTTTAAAAAATTTTTCACTGATTCTAAAGGATTATAAATTTTTTGCTAATATTAAAAATTATAATTATAAGGTAAAGGCTCTAATATTGACCAGTTTAGATAAAATGAACATAAATAAATTATTTGGAAATTTACTAGAAGAGTTTATCAGCTGAAACGAGTGTTTTCCTTTTTTTTATAGTTTTAACTTACAAACTATAATACTTTTGTTTATAAAATACATAATAATAAACATTTAATTGTAATAATTAACGTTACAGCCAATTGCTCCGAATATTGAACATTACTTACTAAATATCGACCTTGTATGTTCCAAATACTGACCAGTAGTATTATGCTTACTAGACTTGTAAATAATTTTTATTTAAAATCTATAATAGTTTGGAGATTAGCTAATCTATTCACTGACATGTTAATAATTCAAGTATTGTTGTTAGTTGTTCTGTATTCTGATACAATATTATCTTCAGTACTCATATTTAAATCAATCTTTCAAGCCATACTAATATTAGGTACATTGGATAATTTACAACACCAATTGTTCACCAGAGTATTATTTCCATTATTAACATGCTTTTTCTAACAAAAATAATTGATAATTAATCTTGGATATTAAATTGTTTTACAAATACTTATTTATTGATAAGTATTTAATTTTATATGTTAATCATAAATGTAGCAAACACGGCGAGGTTTTTAATTTTCCCAAATTTCTGATATTTGTATCCTAACTTTTTTTTCTGGATATATTTATATAGATGCTTAAATTTTTATTTCTATTATTAAAACTAGATAATTTTATACTGAATTAGTTCTATTCAATAAAAATTCCAATAGTAAAATTTTTTTAAATTTTCTCACCTTGCAAATCCGAATCTTGTTCATCTTTTTTCCCCTCCTCAGTCTCCACCGGCTCTGAAGAACCTTTCGGATTAAATTCCACATCAGTAGTATCAATAAGCTTCGAAGGCTCAATCCCCGAAGCGGACAACCACTTGGCAACAATCTCCGAAATCGCTCCCTGTCCTCTCGAAATAACATTCCCCAGCGAAATCTCCTGCTTTTCAAACGGCAGTGCCAAGAACTGCGTCGACTCATCAACCTTAGGCTTCTTAAGAGTCAGATTCAGAATAACAATATCCTCTAGATTTCCAATTAGAAGCGTAAAAAGACACACATCTTTGCTAACATTCTCCCAACCTTCATCATTTCCCTCTTCCTTAACCTGTTTATCTCTACTCGCCGACAAACTTATCGCAACACTCCTACAAGCCAGAGCAGCAGTCAGCGCTTGAAGAAGCTTCGTAGAATTCATCAGAATTTCTCTAGTGTCTTTCCACCAAATTGACTCGTCATTATAATCCACACAAATGTCCTCAGCTTCTCTATCACAAATTCCCTGAACAAGCTTTGTAAACCTCTTTAAATGACTCTCAAGATCCAGAGGGCGCTTAGATAGCCAGTAAACTAGAGCTAGTTCCATCAGAACTTTTCCTTGAAGCCCGCTAGACTCTGCTTCAGACTTCCAAGTATTAATTGAACCTCCCTCCAAACAATTTTGATAAATTAGTTCCGAAATTAATTCCTTTTTATCCTCTGATACATTCTTTTTTAAAGTAACCTGACTTCCAAATTCAAATGCAGAAATAAAGTCTACAAATCCTCCTTTAAAAGTAACCCGAGTCTTTTCTGGCTCTTCTAGACTTTCAGCAAGCTTTAGAATCCTTTTAATTTCTCTTTCGGATGTTAAAAGAACACCCGGCAAACTTTCCTCAGAATCTTCCTCAAAATCTGCATTTTTCTCAACAGATTTTAAAAATTTGTAAAAAAGAACCACTTGTTTTATTTGATCACAAAATTGCACCAAAAATTTAGTATTGCTTTCAATTTCCTGCTCAACAAGCACCTCATTAAAAATCTCGGTCACCTTTATCAAAACATCAGGAATAATATGTCTACTAGTAATCAAATTCTCCAAAATTTGCTGTCTTATTTCATTAGTTTTCAAATCTTTGCATATATTTCCAACTTCTAGGACTAGTTTATCATCATCAAACTCTTCTTCTCTCAAAAAGGTTTTAAGTTTTTTAAAAAGATGGATATCACGAGCCCGCTTTCCGTTTTTGCTGCTCAAGGCAAAATGAAATGGCACCAAAATTTCCTTAAAGCCTCCTAGGGGGTCTAAAAATACGCAGGAATAAATTGGCCGGTTAGGAAACGAAGGAGCGATATCATTCAAGCCTAAGAGCCCATAATTAACATAAAGAAGCCTTCCATTTTTACTCGCGGTGAAAGTTGTAATTTTGGAACCAGTTTGGACCCCCCAGATGTCAATAATCCCCTTTTTGGGTGCATAGATCACCAAAAATAGCGCTGAGCGTTTTTTGCTAGTTCCTTTGGACCTTTTGTCCTCTGTAACTTCAATCCAGCCACACTGGGCGTCTCTGTAGCCCTTCCACATCCTTAAAGCAATTCCTCTGCGGTTATTTATTAAAATAACGCGACCCATAGCGTCGGAAATGACACTTAGGGTCTTGTTGGGGCTTACTATCAAGGAATGGCCTTCGCGCATTATATCACTGAGTCCAAAGCGACAGGTCATTGGTTCCGCTGGTTCCTGGACTGTTCCTGGAACCTTGGGCTTGTCAATGGAGGATTTAGAAGCGCGGAACCACGGAACTGCGGTTCCTATCTTGCCAATTGCGTTTGCCAAGGAGCTTGCCATTGCAATTGCGACATCTGACAATACTGGAGCAGCGCCACCTTCTAGGGCAAAGTGGAACCCGACGTAAGGTCGCTTTCCGGTGGCCATTACTAAATTATGCTGGGGAGCGCTGGAACGGTAAGAGGCATTGAAGCCTCCGCAAATTGAAGCCGTCATTAGGTGGTCGAATGTGTTTACTGAAGTAGTTCCGATTACTTCGCAGTCATTAGCGACATCTTGGTCTCTCAAGCCAAGTTTTTTGAAAGTTAGGCCGCTAGATGGGGCCTTGTCGCTGCTATAGTTCGCTTGCACACGCGCTAAGTGGTTTCTACAAGCTCGGAGGGTGGAAAAAAAAGGAAACCCCGGGAGGATACAGACTACTGATTCGTAGATGACGTGGATCTCTTCGGAGAGGCCAGTGTCTCCCGTGTGACGGGGAGAAGTTAATGATTGACATTTTAGGTTTAGAATTGGTTCGTTGTGGAGCTGCTCTTCGAGCAGGAGACTACCGGTTTCGGTGTAACAGCGCAGGTAACCGGAACTAAAGCCTACTAGGATGCAGGTCCAGTCGGGGCCGCTGTTTGACTTGCCGAGGGAGATTAGGGGCAAGCAGAGAATTGAGGTTATGTATTCCGGGGAATCGGGGGCTAATGTTCCGGACCATGATATGTGGAATTTGTTTTTTATCTCGCCGGGCTCTTGTAAGTCCCATTTTGCTGGAAAAATTGGTTATTTTAGATTATTTAATTGTGAAATTTAAATTAGCCGACAGAGATAAATTTTTAGTTATTTAATTAGCTATAAAAAAATATTTTTTAAAAATTGCAGGTATAGTTTTTCGAATTTTTTATATGTGAAATTTTTTTTTAATTATTTTTATAATAAAAAATTCTTAAGTGTCAGATGTCTGCTAATTTTTGATAATACTAAAGTTAGCCGACGTTTTTGATTTTTTTTTTCAATTAAATTAGAACAAAAAAATATTTTTTAAAAATTGCACTTACAATTTTAAATTTTTTTTTACAAATAAAAATTTTTTTTTGTTCCTTTGTAATAATTTTTTTAATAAAAAAATATTCTAAAAATTATCACATGTCTCTTAATTCTAATATCATTCTTTAAATTTTAGAAATAAATTTACTTACAGGTTAAAATTATAATATTTTTGTGTAATCCAAGACCCAATACATCTCCAGATGATGATAATGATATAAATGAATCTTGCAGAGGTAATTCATTTTTTGGAACATGATCAACTAAAAATTTTACAAAAAATTAATAATTAATTGTTTAAAATTTTTTTTTGGGCTAAATTATTTTTTTTTTAATGACATTTAATTAATTAAAAAAAAGCAACTTACGTCTTAATGTAGAATTTTCAAACAATAATTGCCTGACCTCCTTAACATTATTTATCAAAGCAATACCTTTTATTTGACACGACATTTAACAAACTTTTTAAAAAAATTACTTAAAAAAATACTTTCATTGAAACTTTACTTAAATTATTATTATTACTAATTACTCATCGAACTTCTGACTAATTACATATGGTACAATTGTTAACAATCTCTGTAACAATAATAAGTTTTAAGGTTACTGTACAAATACAATTACAATATCACAACAATAAATACAGTAAATAAAAAAATATATTACGTATGACAGATAGAATTTTTTTTATCTCGCATATCAGCTGACACGTCGATCAAATAAAAATTCAGAAGCCGACTTAAGTAACAAAAGGTCGCCATCTTGCCAGCAACTGAAAAAGTAAAAACTGCGTCGTAATTTATTTTTAAATTTCTGCGCATGCGCGAGTCAGTTCCGAAAAATAACGGCCGAAATCGCGCGGGATAAAAAACGCGAATTCATTATGGCTGCCATTAGCTACCGAGCAACAACTAATTATGTTTACTGTCGCAAATTTATTTATTTTTACAAAAATAGTTTTCGTATAATTTTATAGTTAGATAATTATTAAAATATAAGAAGTTTAGAATTAAAATAAAGCAATAAAAATTGTTCTGAAGTCAGCTGACATTTGTTAAATTTAAGACACTGAAGATAGCTGGCATCTGTCAATTTTTTTATTTTATAGCAATTAAAATATTTAATTATTATAGAAAAAATTTATAATACTGAAGTCAGCTGATATCTCATGATTTTTAGAATTTTTTTAAACAAATAAATTATTAAAATAATACTTTTATAAAAAATTCCAATTGTAGATGTCAAAAAAATTTATTGTTGCCTTTTTTTAAAATTTTTTTTTTTTAATAGTAAAATTTATTTGTTGTAAAAATCCAAAAAATTGACAGCTGTCAGCTAACTTCAGATTTATAAAAATTCAATTAAAAAATTCCACATGTCAAAATTGAAAAAAAAATTTATAAAGCATTTTTTTTATTTTAATTATTATAAAATTTTTTTAATTGACAGCTGACAGTTAATTTCAGTATTATTATATTTTTTGGATTTTTATAACCACTAAATTTTTATAAAAAAATTTTAATTTCAAAAAAATTCACATTTAGAAATTAAAAAAAAAAAAAATTCATTTTTTTTATAAAATCAAAAAAAAATGTCAAATGTTAGCTGATTTCAGTATTTTGAACAAAACATCATGACATGACAGCGAGCTTTTTTTTAACTTGTCAATATTCTTTTATTTACATTTGTGGTTAGTGTTTGGTTGGTTATTAATTTATTATTCAATGTTCATAATTATTCTTATTCATTCACGGATTCAAGATCAACGTAGTGCTGAGGTAAGTTTTTTATTCAAATTAATATAATAGATCTTTAATAATTTTAAGAATTTTTTTAACAAATGAATAATGACAAGAAAAATTTATTTAAAAAATTCTATTTCAGAAGTTTTAAAAAATTATAAATACATGAAAATAAATTTAGATTTTTTATATTAAAGAATCATTACAAAAAAAGTAAAAAAAAATTTTTTTTATTTGTTAAAAACTTCAAAAACTATAAGTGCAATTGTTTAAAAATATTTTTTAGTTACAATTTAATAAATTAAGCAAAATAAAAAAATCAAAAATGTCGGCTAACTTTATTATTATTATAAATGAAAATTTTTTGAAAATAATTTTCTAGAGCAAATTAAAAAAAAAATAAATCAACTCTAATAAATTAATAAATATAATTTTTGAATTATAAATTTTTAGATAATTAATTTTTTGAGAACAATTTATTTTTTTAATTAGAATGAAATTATGACGTCTAAAAATTTTTAATTTTTTTTATTAATTAAATTACAACTAAAAATATATTTCTAAAAAATTGCACTGCCAGTTTTTCAAGTTTTTTACAAGTGAAATTTTTTTTTAATTGTTTAATTGAAATTTTTTCAATAAAAAGAGGCCAGTGTCAATAACTGAGTCTTTTACCTCAGTTTATTTATAAAGAAAAATGAAAAAATTATCAAGTGCGCTAATTTCAATGTCATTGTTAATTAAAAAAAAATAATTAATAAATTTATGGTTTACCATAAATTTATTAATTATTATCAGAGATTAAAAATAATTTTTAATTTGTTAATTTAATGACTTTTATAGAAAGTGATCAATGAATCAATGACAGGTATTTTTACCGCCCATAAAAAGTAATATTAACTTTTTGTACTTAATTATAGATTAATGACAGTAATGAGAAATTAAAAGTAAATTATAATGGACAAAGATTTAGTTGTGTAGGCAAAAGTGTCCAAAAGACCGAGATACGCGTGTTTTTAACCCGGCTAATGGAAGAATTAATGAATTAAAAAAAGTATTTTTATGGTATGTCACTCACGTCAGCCCTCCTAAGTATCTATATTACGTATATATATATATAGATAGAAGACTAAAGTGACAAACTTTTAATTCAGTTTCGATGTTCGTTTGAACATCGGTGAGTGGTTCTTATCGCAATGGGTCATTATCAACACATATAACTATTTATTTCATATTATAATCTATTATTTATTTCATTATTTATCAATACAATTTAATTATAATCATTATTCCAAAAATTAACCATTTCAATTTAGCTTTCTTTATTTTTTGCCAATAAAATTGATAAAATTCAATTTTTATTAATTTACGTCTGGTTACATTATAATTATTAAAATATTTTATTTATTTAAAATCCATAAAATATTTGTAAAAAAAAGTAAGATTGGAATGTCAAATATTTATGGAAGTTTTGTTTTTCACAATCAAACTCATTTTAATAATTTAAAAAGTGATATATCAATGTATTTGTTTGTAAAATGTAAGAAATGTGAATTCAAGTGTTAGGTAAGTCATCTTGAGTGTCTCTCAATCAAAATCAAGTGAGAGAAGAGTGAAGAGTTCAAACGTTCAAGTGTAACGGCAAACTTTTGAGTATGTAACAAACTTGTATTTTTATTTCTTACTGCATATTTCACACGTCTATCATCGCTACCATGCATTTACTATTACGCTTTTTTTTTTTTCTTATTTATTCAACGCCAATAATTATCATAACAATCTAATATTTTATATGTTTTGTTTATTTACACTTAACTTTATTTCGTCGGGTTTTAGGAGTTGCGCAAACTTTTTTCTTCGTAAGATTTAATTTTTTTGGCTTCTTAATTTTTTAAAAACGAACACAAAAATATAATTAAATTTTTTTACTTATTTAAAAAGATGAAAATATTTCAACAATATTAATAATTATAAAATTAAAAAAACTGTAGATCAGTTTGAAAATTTTATTTATAAAATTTAAATCTGGATTTGTTGGAATAAGAAATTATCTTGTATCTTGTGAACTAATGACATTTTTAAAGATTTAAGCTCATCCCGATGTTACACTCATCGAGACCTTTCATTTGAGTACCCACATCAATTTTTCATATATTATATATGTATGTATATATGAAAAATATACTGTAGATATTTGTAATAACTGTTATCAGTATCATCGCGTAAATTACTCGTTTCTATTTTATTTAAATACTTTGAATTTTTTTTTTCATTATTATTATTTAAAAAAGAATGATTGATTAACTGGGGAGTTGTAATAAAAAAAAAGATATTTATGGGACGTCAGGTACGAGCAGACGATGTGGTTCGTAGTACAGATACTACCGAAGAAATTCAAGTCGAGACATCCGACATCTCAAATAAATTTAAATTTTTTGAGACATATAAAGAACCGGAGAAAGAAAGAAAGCAGTTCAGAATAACGCCACCACGTGATGGACAAGTTAAGGTTTGTGTGCGTATGTGTGATGGGATAATTAAGATTTTGTTTTAATGGTGACTACGCAATTAAATAATACTGCATATACATTCAAATAATTACTATTATTGCTGTGTGTTACGCGTTTGCCGGTTTCATCTAACAGCACAATTAACCCTATCAAGATTATTATTATTTCCCATAATTACAATCTTCTTTATGATATTATTATTACATAATGACTTTGTGTGATTGAGTCTATTTGCAAGTTAATATTTTATTTTTTTTTTTATTAATATTATTTGTTATAATTATGGCCAGGATTTTTTATTTAATAATAACAATAATAATTAAATTTTTTATATATTGGTCATATAAAAAAATTTAGTTAAGAGAGTACAATGCAATTTAACATAATTAAGAAAAGACCTTGTGTCTTGTAAACTATTGATATTTTTAAAGATATAAGCTCACCCCGACATTACTCTCATTTTAAGAGCTTTCATTTGAGTACACACATCAATTTTTCATATATTTTATATATTTATATATATTATATATATGTATATATGAAAAATATGTATAAAAATCTATGTGGGTACTCAAATGAAAGCTCTAGATGAGTGTAACGTCAAGATGAGCTTATATTTTTGAAATATATATAATATATATGTATATATGAAAAATATATCAAAAATACATGTGGGTACTCAAATGAAAGGTCTTAATGAGTGTAACATAAAGATGAGCTTATATTATTAAAAACGTCAATATTTAAGAAATTACAGTGTTATTTAACAAAAGTCACTATTTAATAATGCAAAATTTTATTCATTTATAGTTTCAAAGCTTCTATTTAGTATTATTATCTAAAATCTGAATTTATTTATTATTGGATAATAATAGTAATAATAAGTTTGACGATTCAATTTTCTATTTCAAATAATAAATCATCAAAATTAAAAAAAAAAAAAACATTTATTTGTATAAAACGAAATGACAAATGCTAAAGTGACATTAAAATGGTTGTTCATGTCGCACGTGGTGGAATGCAGTTTGTAAAGAATGATCCGGCGCCAATACAACATTTACCCTTGGTAATAACACTGGCAAGTATAAATGTATAAATATATAAATGTATAAATTTACACTACATTCATTGGAATATTTTGTAGATCATAAATCTCAGTGCACATTTACAATGCATTACCATAAGAAAATTCGAATCTACGTATTACACCTTTCTATCTCACTAAATTACTTAGTTAAACATACATACATATATATAACATCAGTTAATATGTGTGAAAGAAAATAATGTATATCTAAGCGACGACTTTATAATACAACAGAGGTAAAACGGTGTTAAAAAGATTTTTTAACTTAGAACAAGCATTACTAATTTCAGATTTATGTTTTGACACTGATTATATTAGATACTGTCACAGTTGTCATGTCCGTAAATTATTTTTACATTTATTATTTATTTATATCATTCTATCACTGAATTATAATTGAAAATTTCATTTATAAAAAATATTTTAAAATAAAATAATAATAATAATAATAATAATAATAATAATAATAAGTCGAAACAAAAATCTTGATGAAAAAATAAATAATCTTATCACTGTTAATGGATTAAGAGGTAACCCGGTAAT